TCTCTCATCAACAACAACAACGGAGGATGAGGAAAAGAGAGGAGATCTCTCTCACCACAACAACGGAGGAGGAGGAAAGGTGGAAAAGAGAGAGATATTAGTCCATAAGGAGGTGTCTTGAGCTGATCAAACCCTAGTGCAGTCTTGAGCTCAAAGAGATTTTGTGAGCAAATTCTTGATAAGTTGAGAGGGCAAATTTTGGGGTACAACATACACACTTCAAATATTGTATTGTGTAATACCTTGAGAAAACCGGGTTGTGGTTTAAACTCAAGAAGACTTTGACGGTTGTAATCGTATCTGTGTAATCAAGTTTGATTAGTGGATTAAGACCTCGTTGAGAGAGGCTAAATCACCTTTGGAGGGTGGACTGGAGTAGTTTGAGTTCAAACGAACTAGGATAACCAACGTGCCTTTTGTTTTTAAGTTTTAAAAACCCCAATTGAAACTCCCCCCCCCCCCCCCCCCCCCCTCATTTCTTGTGTTTTTTCCATTCTTCACAAATGTGGTGTTCAAGAAGCTTGTGATGAGTTTAGGCATGAAGAACTTACAGCATTTGAATTAAGATGGTGTGTTGGAAGTTTAGAATAATTCAAATGCAATATGGTAGCTTCGGGAAGCACTACGTCGAAATAGCTTATCAGTAAAGCACTTTTAAAAAAGCAGAAAAAAGAATTTGCAAAATGGAAATCGATTACCCTTAATGGGGAAATCGATTTCCCCCAATGTTTTCTGTTTTCTGTTTTCTGTTTGTTTCCGTGTTTTCTGTTTTAGTTGAGGAAATCGATTACCTCCTTTTTCGAAAATCGATTACCCCCTTTTTTGGAAATCGATTTCCTCCTCGTGTTTTTGAACTTTTATTGTTTTATGAGTCTATTTTGATTCCAATTTATTTTGTTTTGTATCCTATATATACTCCCTCGTTATAATATTTGTTATTAATGTCATATTTTACTTTTTTCCCTTAATTACTCTCTCTCTCTCTCTTAATTCTCTCTACCAACTATTTTTCACTATATCTTCTCCAATTAACCACATTTCACCCATACAAATTTTGTGTTTGTTCCAATAATCCTCTATTTTAATAATAGTTTTGTATTTTAGGTGTGTTTTTATTTTGTTATGAAGACCAACTGTGATCCTGTTTTGTTGTTGAGGTGTCTAGAGTTTTAGGTGTTGTGATTTATTGTATACCGGGGTATAGACTTTGTATCTCTATTAGTTTTGACATTTCAATGAGAACGAAGATATTATTTATGTTAAGAAACGAAGGGAATCTAGTTATCTCACCGTATTTTGCATAACAAAATAGTACTAGCTGTGAAACAAAGAAAGAAAAGTGCAAACTTCCTTTAATTATTTTATTCACATTCTTACCTACCCGTAACCATGGTTAAAGAAACAAACCCCACAGACACGCACACATAGGCATAGCACATTACTACACAAACAACACTCCCATCTTTTTTAACACAGAAAGCATCTCTCTCTCTCTCTTTGTCTTCCTCACTACACTCAGTCACACTGCCATTACCCATTTTCCCAAAATGGGTAACCACTCTCTCCTTCTCCCTCTCCTCTTCCTCCTCTCCCTCACCACCATCTCCGCCCACAACATCACCGAAATCCTCTCCGACAACCCAGACTACTCCCAATACAACAATTTCCTCTCCCAAACCAAACTCGCCGACGAAATCAACTCCCGCCAAACCATCACCGTCCTAGTCCTCAACAACGCCGCATTCTCCTCCATCACCTCCAAACACCCCCTCTCCGTCGTCAAAAAAGTCCTCAGCCTCCTCATCCTCCTCGACTACTTCGACAACTCCAAACTCCACCAAATCACCAACGGCACCACTCTCTCCACCACTCTCTTCCAAACCACCGGCAACGCTCAAGGCAACATCGGATCCGTCAACATCACCGACCTCAAAGGCGGCAAAGTCGGCTTCGGCTCCGCCACTCCTGGATCCAAACTCGACTCCTCTTACACCAAATCCATCAAACAAATCCCTTACAACATCTCCGTCCTCGAAATCTCCGCCCCTATCATCGCTCCCGGAATCCTAACCGCTCCTCCTCCGTCTAGCAACCTCAACATAACCGCTCTAATAGAAAAAGCTGGATGCAAAACTTTTGCCTCGTTAATCCTATCTAACGGTCTCATCAAAACCTTCCAATCAAACCGCTGATAAAGGCTTAACCATCTTCGCACCCAACGATGAAGCTTTCAAAGCTGACGGAGTTCCAGATTTAACCAAACTCACAAATGCTGAAACCGTTTCGCTTTTACAGTATCATGCAGCTGCTAATATCTTCCTATCGGATCCTTGAAAACTACTAAGGATCCTATAACTAGTTTAGCCGCTAACGGCGCCGGAAAGTTTGATTACTCAGTCTCCGTCGCCGGTGATTCGGTTACACTTCATACCGGCGTTGATTCATCCAGAATTGCAGATACTATTTTGGATGCTACTCCGCTTTCTATTTATTCAGTTGACAGTGTGCTTCTTCCTCCGGAGTTGTTTGCTAAGTCGCCGTCTCCTGCTCCGGCGCCGGAGCCTGCCGATGCTCCTTCTCTGGCACCTGCTTCTGCTCCATCTCCGGTGGCTGATACGCCTTCTCCTTTACCTGCATCGCCTCCGGCTCCTGTAGGTGACAGTCCAAGCGATTCTCCAGCGGGTGCACCGTCCACTGCGGCGGATCGTAGTAAGCTCCGGGAAATCTGCTGGCGTTCACGTGAAAGCTAGTGGTGTTGTCACTTTTACAGTGACTGCTTTGTCTGCTTTTGTGGTTTCTTTTGTTTTCATGTCCTGATTTGTAATTTTAGAGTGTTGTTGTTTTATTATTTTGTAATTTAAAATTTAATTTTTGAGTTCCTTTTTTTTATCTCTTCTCTGAATGTGTTTGGATTAGAGATTTCTATTTTGTTATAAATTAATTTAGGTATGGACCGTTGTACGTGAATGATGCTTTGCTTTGCTGTTAATTTTATAGTACTATATTTTTAATTCAAGTTTTTGGCTTTTTTTTAATATAGTGCAGTATTGTTTAATTTTTAAGTGGTAGTGGTAGTGGGAGTGGTGTGGCTTTGTGGTGTGTTCTATAATGATTTTTTTGCCTTTTTGGACGTTTGTTTAGTTTGTGAGGGGGCAGGTGTGAGTTCCATGATTGTGATTGGTGAAGGTGAGAGAAGGCACGTGGTGGGGTATGTACTAGTGGGTCATGCATGTTACCTTTGGTGAGGACCACCACATTTTGTTGTGTTTAACGGAACATAAACTCAGATCTGGCTTTGATGACTGTGCGGCGAATGGGTTTTCAATTTCCAACAGTTTTTTAAGTTATATAATTTTTTTTAAAAGAGCAAAAAAACTAACTTTTATTATTAATAATCAAAAGTTTATATAAGAGGAGTAAGATGAAAATTACTATGCTTAGTTCAAGAATTAGCCGTCTTTGTTAAAGAATGAGCAATCGAATTTGTTTGATGATTAATAAACTTAACTTTAAAGTTTGTAAAAATTTGTAACGATTCTTTAATAACTCTAATGATAGATTCTGAATTATCAGAATTGACAGAACCTAATGTTTGTACCATCGAAGAGAGTCACTTTTGAACAAAACACAATCCATATTTAAAGAAATAGTTGTATGAATAGCTTCTTTGAGTGATATAGCTTCTGCTTCAATAACAGATAAAGAGTATCGGGATCTCAAGCCGCTCCTACAAAGATAAAAATCGCAAACTCATCTTGAAAACACCACCCTCTATTCGAAGCACCACAAGTCTTGTTGAAATCAGCATCCACATTGCATTTAACCATCCATGAAATGGTGGGCTCCAAGCCGACACCTGATGATGGCTGGTGCGGCTCTCCTGAAAGCGTTGGGCCGAGAACCATTCTTGCCATTGATGATAACGCAAGCCAACCAAGTTTAGGTTCCTCCTCTTTCTCGTTATTCTAACGTGATCATTTCTATATATTAATTTAATCACTATAGTACACCACCTTCTCCAACTTAGTCTTATAACTTATAAATATAAGTTCAGTTAAACATTAAGGCAATTTCTCTTTACACTTAATACACTTCTTTCAGACCTCTGGCGAAAAATCCAAAATATCTCCAGAATTTAGATATATATATTCGAACTCACCAACGACGTTTTTTTTATAAATTTTATTTCGGATATGCATATCCGAATTCACCCAATAGCCTAGTTCGAAGATGCATATCCGAATTTATCTATGGGACAAAACTATCAACATAATTTAATAACATTGATTCAACATAAATTCAAAGAAATCACATAAATAGTTGTGCATAAATTTAAAATTACATATCATTATAAACGGGTAGTTGAGGACGTTGCAACATCTTGATAACATCTTCTGTCGATCTTTAAAGCTTCGCACCCATCTCAATCGGATCCTTATAAGAGTATCGTTGAAAAGTACTCCACAAAACCTTTAAATCGTCGTCGTTCTTGAGCTGAAACAGAGTAAACTTTACGTTTCCTTCAGTTTCAAATGAAGGTGAACGATACTAAAGCTTAACCACCTTTCGATTCTATGAATATCACAAGAGAGAATGTAATATGGTAATGAGCTCGGCGAACAAGGTGTCATGCGAGAACCTAGATTAAATTGGCGACTGCGCACCACCGAAGTAGACAAAAACAAGGTGTGGATAAGTTTGTGTCATTTTTGGTTGTGGTTTGTATTGGAGAATAAAAAGGTTTGGAGATCCAATTTATAGCCTTTTTAGAGCAATTTAGACCAAAGAAATCTTATCAGGATAGTATTTCAGAAATGAACATACGAATTAAATTTTTAAACCAAAATAAAGGGTTTTCGGAAATGCACATCCAAAAATATTACGTTTTTAAAAATAAAAATAGGAGGTGAATTCGGAAGTACATATCTGAAATAAGCCCTGTGTTATTTTTTTTAATTGAAGGTGAACTTGAAAGTGCATATCCGAAATAAGTCCTGTGTTGTTTTTTATTAAATTGAAGGACAATTCGAAAGTGTATATCCAAATTATGCAGAAACGGAATGACCATCAATGTTTGTACCAAAGAGGCATGGTAAAAATAAACAATTGTAAAATGAAATATAGATAATATGTTATATATGTATTGAAAACGTGTAGATTTTATAATGTGTACGACAATACATTCAAAAAAATAGTTCGACTACATTCTAAAATGCACCGAGCAAATTGTCACCACTTAAATATAAAAACTAGATCTTTCTTTGACTTCTCCCTATTTCATTCTCTCTCAAGCTTCATCAAATTGGTGAACTCTACCATCCTTTTTAAAAACTGATTCGGCAAGTTTTTCTTGCTATCACCCAACCACTTCTTCAACATCGCATGTGGAGATTTCACTCTATTAGTTGTTGTGTTACCGAATGTCTAACCCGGTCCGTCCAAGCACATACAACTTTCTCTTTCACCTAATCAAGGATAGTAGACTCACATATTTCAATAATCGGGATATTCCACACATAATTTCCTAAGTTTACCACATTCTCAATATACAACTCTTCTATAGTATAAATAAGAATATCAGTCGACGCACCCGTTATCCTCTCAACCACAACACTGGATTTGATCATGTTTCCGTCTTCATCCTTTTTTCTTTGTTGCCAACTGCGGGTTTTAGCCGAGCTCTCACATTTTTTGTTATATGATACCGATAAAGTAATGAGCTTGATGAAGGAAACATACTACCAACCGCATTCATAAGGGCATTATTTCGGTCGGTAACAATGATCTTAGGCATATTTTGTGGATCCTTCAACAAAGTTTTGCATATACCCAACGTCTAAGTGACATTGTCTTCTTTCTCACATTCTAAAAAACCAAACCCAATCGAAAATGTCTTGCCCATAGAGGTGACACCAATGATTTCTAGAAGTGGAAGCCTATACTTGTTGGTATTGTACGTTGAATCAATCATAAGAACAGTTGGAAATATGTTGAACAAATTAATACTTTCTAGATGAGTCCAAAAAATATCACGAATACTGACGTTGTCCTCACAAACTTTGTACTTGGAAACATATTGACTATCATCCAAACATTTCAATAAATGTTGTATTTCAGACCTCTTTGTACAATATGTTGTTTATAACGATAATTATAAACCGACTTGATATTTTAAACACATTCCAGTTTATTCTGTTTCAACCCAGCAAGTATATGTTTCTCGGCGCAACTTTGATTAACGACAATTCTGAAATAAATTCCTTCTCAACTGAATTAAGCTGACATAAAATTGGATGCCCTTGTATCTTGGTGTTCAACACATGATTATGCATACCGGATATGACATTATACTGCCACAAACCATCCATCCTACAATAACTGCACAATTTAAACATACACTCACATTTCCTCAAACCTGTATCATCATGTTTTATCTTCCAAAGTTTTGGAACATATTTTTCACTTCTCTCGTATGTCATCATAACAAAGGGTTGCCTTTTACTAGTCCTATTGTCGGGCCTTTCAATCACAACGCCAAACCCAAGTTTGTTATCTTCCATTCGAACTCATTCAAGCATATGTTCACGAGAGGTGAAAATTTTGTCATTTGTAAATTGTTGTCCATAATATATCACAACATCATTCGTTGTATCAACGTTCTTCATCTCATTTGGCTTAGCATCTTCATTGACCTTGTCTGAAACCTTTACGACAACTTTGAGAATATTGTCGGGGTGTACCATACCTAACAGAGTTCTGGTTTTGTAATAATCATGTTTTCGGATATGAACATTCGAATTATGGTAGGTTGAATTCAGAAGTGCATAACCGAAGCGACATTGCTTTTTTCTTTCACAAATCAGCATCAATGCAGGGAATGCATGACGAAATGATGAAATTTTACCTTAAATTATAGCTTTTATGCTCTCTTTGCTATACTCAAACACTTAAAACTTGATTTGAAGAAGAAAATTTCATTGAGAATTGTTGAAGTTTTGTTGAGGGTTTTGGTTATGGGGAGAAGGAAAATGAATGAAATAGTTGAAATGGGTGACCATGCAACATTCTAATATGAAAATGGTAGTTTCAGATATGCACTTCCGAAAGCACCTATCAGCATGTTTCGAATATGCATATCTGAAACAACCTCTGAAATTTAAAATCCAACATTTAAGTATTAAAACATGAGAAAATTGTGTCTTTGGATATGCATATCTGAAATATGCTGATAGGTGTGTTCGAAAGTGCATATTCAAATGGTATTTTTGGGTTTTCAGAGGTGAAAATCACGTATACTATGTGCAAAGAGAAATTCTCAACATTTAAACAGTTAAGTTAATGTTTAGTTAATAGTTGGATAAAGACAATGGCGATTGGTATATAGATCCAAATTCGTGATATACATTTTCGAAATACTTTGAAAATTGATTTAGAGATTCGCATCTCTAAAAGATATTTTAAAAAAATTTCAGTCATATAAAAGTGTATTAAGAAATTCCCAAATATAATATTCTACAACCCCATACATAAGGTTTGTAATTCCTAAATACAATAGTCTACAATCCCACACATAAGGTTTGTAAGGGCTAAAAACTTATTAAGTAAAAAAACCTATAATTGTTCACAACATCAAACATGCAACCTAAAAGGGTGAAATGCTTAATAAGAAAATTCAAATTTTAAACAATTGTCATTGTTTACTGTTTTGTTCATGTGTCTGTCTCTATAACTGTCAATTTGTATTAATGAT